TTTTATTTAAGAACAGAAAGATTCATTAATGCCTATTTATGATCTATTTTTAGGGTAATTCCATGCAATTACTATTCATATGACTCAAGCACCCAGGCAGAATTTTAGCCAGGCAATAAAAGGATAATTTTGTAATGCCAGAGAGTCTCTAGAGAAGATTTAGAGGAAAATGCAAATCAACTGTTAGTATGATCAAGCTGTGCAAGCTAACTCAGTTTCTGGAGCTCTGTATAACGTAGGAGACATTCACAGTGGAATATCAGACATGAACCAGCACACGGGTGCAGCACATGGGTGCTGCTGGCTTTGTAACATCTGGGCTCTGTGCAGTTGCAGTGCAGCGAGTGGCTGGAAATGAGCTCACCACTCTCCATTCCCTTTTATACTCCCAGCAATGAAGTATGTGAGAAATACTGATGCCAAGTTTCCCAGGGAGACATCAGGCAAAGAGGGATGGAGAGGTGCATATGCTGGCAAACACTCCTAGAAGTGAATGAATACATGTTTATAAAATGCCTTGCTCTCACACACTAAGGATCTTCCTTTCCTGTCCAGGTGAACTTTCAATGAGTCAAAGTCTTATTTTCCTTCTTATCCTAATTCTGCTCCTCCTGACATTCCTGTCCCCCCAGTATCTAAATTTTGTCTCCATCCTTTCTTTCCAGGACTCAGCTGGGTGTATTGTTGCTGTGTAGGGCAGCCTGGGAGGGAGGGCTGGGAAAGGCAGCTGCAGGCACTCCGTAACCTCTGCCAGAGAAGCCCTTCAATACCATGCACTTATCAGATTAATTCTACACTGATTAATTTCCCCAGATTAATTCTAGACTAATTAATAATTTCTGGAAGGCAGTGGAGAGAGTGGTTTTGTCTCCAAATGAGGGCAGTGACAATCAGGATACCTGAGCCAGCCCTAGGGAAATGGCAGGTTAAGACAGGGTATGCAGGAGTACTCTTATCCTTCTGGACGAGCGCTCTGGGGACAGGCAAGATACTTGAGGATGCCTGATGGCAGCTATTCTTAGACACCTTGGAAAGAGTTCTGGGTTAACACCTCACAAGGAGAAGAAGCCCTGAGTACAGTGAAAAACTATTCCCTGCAATTCAAGATTTACACTTCTGAAAAATCGTTTAAGGCTATGATAGCAGAAAGGAAACAGTCAAGAAACCACCAACCCCGCTTTCATAAAGCATTTATTTTTTTTATTTGAAAACATTATACAGGCATTACATTGCCACAGCCAGTCCATATAGGTGCATGCAAATATCAAAATGGAGAAAGATTTATTCAGCTTCTCAATGCAGGATTTGGGGTTGGGATTTTGTTTGCCTGGTTTTGGTTTTGGTTCATACTTCCATCTGCAGTGTCAAGATTAGTGTGCTTTATTATGGCATTTAACAATAAAATCCTACCCATGGGGTAAAATTTATATTTGTAGCTAGCTCAGGAATACTAAATGGTTTTCAAAAAAAAAAAAAAAAGAAAATGATACTACACGCTTGTCAAAATGTTAATAGCACAAGTTAGCAATCTCTACACTATACATTGAAACTTCTTCTTATGACACAGTGGTGCAAAATTTTCAATTGCTTGGTCTATCGTTGTGTGTTTCAAAACTTTATAGCTGGAACAAAGACCAGGTCTGTCTCCCAGTGAGGGTGTTCATCCGGTATCAGAAAATTACATCAGTCTTGCTAAGGGCTGCCCAGGACCAGCAGTATCAGAGAGTTTCAGTCTGTCCAGGCAAGGAGCTGTGCAGAGCTAGAGACGTCCTACGCAACACGGAGAGTAGCTGCCGTTAGATAGCTGAGCCTTTGCTGGTGCACACGGAGGGCTCCAACTGCAGAACAGAAACGGGCAGAAGGAATGCTTTCCTCCACTGACCTAGTTTTTCAGTCAACACAGTTATTTGTAAAGCCATACTACTGTTTTCCTTCGAGGTCCATCCAGGACTAGCGCACTGGTGCTAATCCGAGCACCCACCTTTGCTCATGGGGAAACACAGAGAGCGAAGCAGCCCCGCTTTGAACATCAAACTCCTCCTGCACCAGAAGCACAGGGCATGGTGGCTGGCTGCAGAGCGCTCACTGAAACATTCATAACTTATTCCTGTACAGCAGAGCCTTTTAGAATAGCCTGGTGGCACCTCTCAGCCACCCGTGGATCGCAACCCCTCGTAAGGAAAAACTCTCAGCCTGTGACCCGGCCGGGAGCTGCCTCCTGCCCAGCTGTTTCACAGAAGACTCTAACAAACGTCTACAAGTTAGTGTCAGAAAAATGAGGAGGGGGAGGCCGAAGGACTACAAACATTTGGCTTAAAAATAAATACTAATAAGGAAATTAATCAAAACAGTTATGCAAAAGGAAGGAACTGTAAACATGAAACACACACGCACACAATCCTCAAGGTTCTCAGACCAACACGGGGACTAATGCTCAGAGAAAGGTATTTAATTGGTACAAAAGGTAGCAAAAAAGACTGAGATGACAGGTGTCCACTAGTATGCCTCTGGATACTTGAGTGAGCCATGATTGTAATCAGACCCCTTCTCCTGGGGAATGTACGAAATCCAGCTTAAGTCGAAGTTCTCACAGGGTTTGACTCAAAGATCTTACCCTGAAGTGTCAGGTAGTCTTTCTTAGTGTGTTTTTTATTTTTTTGATTTAGACTTTCCTTAATATCCCCAGAATACAGAGTCTGTTTTTCTGCAGGAATCTAGTGGGGGTTTTTTTGTGTTTTTTTAATCCTCCATAGTTTAAGAAAAAAAAGTTCGGATACATGAGTGCTAAAAAGATTTAAAAAAACAGAAGGCAGGGGAAAAAACTATGCATTTGTTAGTTTAGTACCAAGGCATCTTAACCAAAGCTTTTGGGCATGATTTGGAAATTCTGCAGAACCTTCCCTTAGGTGCAGCAGGGTTGTGGCAGACAGCCTAAATGCATTGGGAAAGAAATGACCTCTTCTCCATTGTAAGAATAAGACACAGCATACTTCTCCTGTTCAAGAGCATTTTGACATTTGCCACTTCATGTCTGTTATGCATATATAAACTTCTCTCAGTCTGCTTCAGGGAAGTTCCTTCTGTATCAAAGCAGAACAGGACTATAAAAAATGATTGTTACCTCAGCAGAAATTCATCCTGCTTCGTTAAACTGCGTGACCTTTCTAATCTCCAATGTATAGATTGACTTTTTTCTTCTTTTTTATATAGAAATAGGTAAGTTGTATTTTTCAAACATGAAGGCCTACATTTTTGCTTGAAACAGTCTTTTTTCAGCAGAATAACATTCAAATCAAATTCACCTTCTATGCCCACAAGCAAAATATTCATCAACCATGCCATAAACTCCATTTTCAAATACGATGAATGTATACACACTTTTACAGCACTGTTATGTACTTCTTAAGCTCCTTCTTTCTGAAGATCCTAAAGCATTTTAAAATGACTTGGTCCCATAGCACCTCTGTGAGGTAGGTAAAATGTCATTATTTCCATATATACTGATTGGAAACTCAGCCACACAGAAGGTAAGTCATGCCCAAGGATTCATGTAAAGATGTGGCAGATTGGTGAATGAAACCAAGATCTCTCCTAGATTCCTCACTTACTGTTAGACACAGGAACACCTCGTCTTTCTTAATTTTAAATTACAAATAGATAAAGGATACTGAAATAATGATTTCCTTGTACTGGGCTCTCAGAAGAGCAAACATACAGACAAAGATGGATTTTTCATGGTGGCTACTAAGATTTTCCCCATTCTAGAAGGTAAGGCTCCTGAGGCAGAAGTACAGTTGTATACAGAAGTGTGGAGCACACCCTTACTATTTTCACACGTCCCCAGGAATGTAAGAAAACTGCTGAATTCTTCTGCTTGCTTCACAGTTAATGAAAAATAATTGGTGCCTGTAAAATGCCTTTGTGCTACTGTGGCAACACCAGCAGATGGTCCAGTCTTTCTGCTCATGAATTCCTCCCTTAATCTTCCTGATTTTTACAATCTGTGGGTTTTGGTGAAAAACTGACACATTTCTAAATAGCTATTGTTAGAATAATGAACCATGGGAGACTAAGCAAACTGGAAGAGCAGAAGGCACCCTCGATGCACTGAGTATCTAAAATAAGTGCCCTGATCCACATGATATGCCATCTTTCCATGGAGAGGTACAATATATAGGAAACTAGAAAATGTATTTTTCTTTCTACAGGTTAAAATTTTAAAAGTAAGAAATCTGTGTTGAGTCATGACTACAGAGAAATTGACTCCCTGTCATCTGATGCAGAACCTTGGCCACTAGGAAATCTGCCATGGATCATAGAGAGGTCAATGCTTGAGTACTTCACTTCTGCAAATATAGAAAGGCTAAAATGCTTGCCTTATACCTATTCCTAGAATAGAGACGGATATTGGAAGTTGTCCCTTCTCTGGATTCATGGATCAGATTACCTAGAAAGGGCAACTAGACAGATAGCACAGAACTCATTGTATTTCCCTCACCAAATCCAAGGTGCTAGCAAAAATGTATCAGGGGGTTGTTACCACAACTAACCCATCTGTTTTGTGCAAACAAACAAATTTTAGAGAGAAATTAACAGTGACTGCACAAAGTGTATTTGCTGTAAAAAGGCGTTTTTTCCACAACTGGTGTGGCTTAGGCATATGATCACTCTGTGTATGTAAAACACCCTTCTATTAATTTCCTTTTTTTTTGTAATTTCATCTTACATATTGAATATCTTTCACAGGTAGTTTGACATTAACTGATTCCTACACAGCAGCTTGTATTGCAAACATGCTGCTCATGTCGTAAACAAGGGACTGGCATCTCCTTGCAAGGAACACCCTGGAACAATTAATTTGTGTTTGTATGAGCTTTCCTTATTTGCTACCTTGCAGCTCACCAGTGTAACTGCACCTGGTAAATACCTTTCTCTATGTACAATACAGAGATAATGGATATACGAGCTCCACTGTCAATAGGTGATCAACAGCCCTGGGTTTAAGCAACTCTAACGTGAGGCTCCTCTTCTGTCTCCTGCCCCAGGCTGGTGTATGTCACCGAAGGCTCCATCTGGCTGCTGGCTGGCAGGTCTACAACAGGTCCGGAGGGATTTCGGAACTGCTTGTACACCCGAGGATCCTGGGCTACGTAGGTGGACGTGGAGGAGTAGAGCATCAGCCCAACAAGGATCGTGAAGAATGACAACAAGTAAAGTCCTGAAAACTGAGCAGAAATAACAGCAGAGTCATTAGACACAGCACCAATTACCCTGAGTTCATGAAGACCCATAGACAGCGTTAGGCACACATCCTTGTTTTGGCATGTGCTGCACAGAACAAACTCCCTGTCATTTGGATGATGAATTTTTATGGAAATTACTCTTTGAAAATTAATTTACTCCCACCAATTTCCCTGTCCTCTGTAACCAAGAGCTAACTAGTGCCTTCCCCTGGCCAGGCATGTTAAGTATTGACTGCCTGGGACTTGGGAAAGGTGAGTATTGGTCATGGATCCAAAGCTGATTTTTTCATGCTTTTGGACAAGGCAGCTACTCCTCCAAGTCCAAGTTTCTCCAGCTCCAGTGTGAGGTACCATAATTTACAGTTTTCAGACAGGCAGTGGACAAATCTGAAGACAGTTACAGCTAAACCATGTCTGTGAAGTTAACATGCTGTTAGAAATATAAAAATATAATTAAATAATAATTTCAATAAGAATTATATATTTTTTTTTAATAAAGGCACTTAAAAACTACCCTGTCTGCAGTATTTCTTGCTTGTGAATAGAAAGCAGGTGCTAGAAGATCTAATGTGAGTTTGGATAAGATGAACTTCAGCTGTGAAACGCGCTCTGGGTCAACATCATGAGGTTTGAAAGTACACATGGAGGGCAGTTAACTGAAAGCTCAAGTACACATATTTTGGCACACAGCTTCACTAGATCAGAGGTCAGCCTGAATTTTTTGACATATACAGACTTGTGTCTGAACTAAAAATACAACACAAAGAACCTTTCTGGCAACTCGTTAGCCCTTGCAGATAAAGCTAAAGGCAAAGACAGGGTTTCAAAAGCGCAAATCACTGGGTACCAGCTTTAGATACTGGGTTCGGCTACAGGGGACACAAAAATGGCTTTATGCCCATATGACTTGTCTGCTGATCCTAGACTACAAGTTATTTCTTCATGCATGCTCTGTGTGTGAGAAATCATGAAGGACAAATTGCACAGCCACCTTGTTGAGGATATAAATGATTTGTATTCAGTGGAACTTCCAGAAGTGCCTGTATTCTGCAGCTGTCAGGAATCTGTACCTGAACACCATCAACTACTTGCAACCTGCTATTAGCTGCTCCATGAGGTACTTCAAGATTTTATGTAAAGGTGTCTGCAAGTCTGTTAATCCTGACTGACTCTGCTTTGATGGATGCCCACTTGTTTCCTCTGGATCACCTTAGCACAGCACAAAATAGACAGAATGGACTGTATTATCTTGGAATTTTTTGAGCAATTCAGCTTTTTATGCGTAAAGGAATTATCATTGTGGAGAAAACAAATTTTGCTTAAGCTAAATTTGTAGTGATGTTAATTTGTTACTGTTTCATAAACCTACAAAACCTCCATCCAGCCTCCTGCCTGAGGAAGCATTTGGACTTTTTACAGAACCCTCAGTATCTCTGAAAGGGGACACATCACCCATGCTGATATGTGTGTTTCCCACACCCAGCGTGCATGTTCGACAGGGAAAATACCATAATGGGGAAGGTTTTTAAAGAATGTGAGAAGGATTAGAGGGTAGGAAGAATTTTGCTTTTCATCAGCTTTTGGTTTTTTTTTTACATGTATGCCACCAGGCCCTCATGTGTTGTCTGGCAGCACAATTTGATGAAAACACCCAGCTGTCCCAGAGTCACAGAGACACTGCTGAGCCTCACCGAGAGCCTGCTGAAGGACTCCTTCCATGTGACACAGCTCTGATAGGACTGTTTAAGCTTAGATCTCCCCCACGTGGCAATCAAACACAAGTCAATAATTTCAAGCTTCTGGCTGATTTTTCCCCCTCCATTTTCAGTACAATTTTGTTCTCAGCACTTTCTTCCCCTCTTCACTTTGTATTTGAACTTGAGCATCACTTGGCAGCAGTGAAGCTGACTAAGCTTGAGAAAATCTCAGGAGCCAAATGCATCTTGTTTCCCATCCCTAATTTCCCACTGTCCCTCATTCCCACCTTATGCTCGAATTTCTCACCCCAGCCCGCCAATTGGCTTGGCCCACTGCATAGCCAGAGTGCCAGCCAGGTCTGTGATTGCTTTGTGTCCTGCTGTGAGGAATCTCTGGGGCTTCCAGCAGCAAAATGTGCTTTTTTTTCTTGTTCTAGGAGCTGCCCAGACAAAATCAAATCATTTTTGCTTTGGTTCGTGGCTCCAGCTCCACCATATCCCCTTTCTCCTGGCCATACCTCTCATTCCTCTCTCAGGGGCTTCCTGCCAGTGGGTTCTTTTGGCTGAAAGTATTCTTTCCATGCTAGTGTCCTCCCTCATGGCAGCTCTCCAGCCTGGGAGAAAGGGTTTGGGCAAGCTTGGGGAAATCTAAACAAAGGTCTGTTTGTCTTTGGTATCTGTGCACAGCTAGTTCAAAGAGATGTGGACTCTGACAGTCCTATGACAATTCCTTCCTTTTTACCTTCCTTAGAAACAAGGTTCAGGCTGAATTCATTTGTGCAGCAGCTCTCTGCAACACTGAAGTAGAAAGGTAGATAGTGAGGTTACTATAGGAATATATACTGAAGTACATGACAAATCTGACAAATCTGTGTTTTTTGTCAATACTCTGTCAACCTGATCTAAAACCCTTTGAAATAAATGGATATTTTCCTCCTATTAAAACAGCAGTGAATCCATCAGTGCAATGGAAAGATGCAGACCTAGCTCCCAAAAACAACATTTGATGTTCACTGTACTATGCTACTCAGACTCCAGCTGAAACCTGCATTTTATGGAAGATAAGATTTCCAGGCACACTCTACTGCTGTGTAGGTTTTGGAGGTTTTTAAAATATTCATATGTAAACCTCATCTACTGAGATTTGCTATTAATAAGCAGGAAAAAGAAACACATTTAAAACCAGAGAAAAGAGCCATTCCTAAGTAACGAAGTGAGGGAGGATCACTTTTCATTGCCACTTTATGCAACTGCAGAACCAAAATGTAGGTTCTTGGGAAGTGTGTAATTCCTCTCTCTGCCTAAAAAGCTGCTTGAGAATGATACTGTGCTTCCTTTTACTGAATTATCTCTTTCTACAGAAACATATTTCCTCTTAAAAAAAGTATTTTAAAAATATCCAGATTTGTATGCCTCTCCAAATCCTTCCCTCCATGCTAAGCAGGATAACTGCCCAAAGAGTTACAAGGTGAAGAGAAACTGGTTAGCTCAAATTAGCTAATGAGTGCCACACATCCTAAGCAGACTAAAAGTCAACTCATGTTTCCATATCATTAAACAGTTTTACTGTGGATTTCATATCTACATTTATAGGTACATATGTATTACATATGTAAACTTGCTCATCCATGAAGTTTATTGAGAGACCAGATGACTTTGCAGTGGGGTCAATGACCTAACATTCTTGAGTCCCTGAATTTGATTTTCAACCTGTAAATTTATTTTGTGAATCAGAATGATTTTAGATGATCCTCAGTTTCTTACCCATTTAAAAGAGATAATTACACTTGGTTACTGAATAAAGATGAGTTTACAGAATAAAAATGGGGAATAGGGATCCTCTGATGAGAAGGCAGAGAGCTCTTTTTCAGGGAAAGTGCCTTACTTACAATATTTCAGATTTCATCACTGACATGAAAAGCACCTGCCAAAGCTTTTTAAGCAGTCAAATCAAATAGTTAAATCAGCTGTACAGATCTGATCATGTCTGCTCTGCTCTGACATCTGTGTGTCTATAAATGCTTCCTCAATCAATAGTATTTAATATGGATCATACAATGATAATCATAAATGTTAAAAAATTAAGAAAACACAAAAAATATCTTCTCTAGACACCATTTAGTACCTGTGGTAAGAATAGCCTACATTAAACTAACATTACCTTTCAGCATGTAAAAGGCACATCTTTGGTGCCTGTCAATTTGAAGATAAACACACAAAGCAAAACCTAGACAAATATACCGAGATAACATGCTTAACAAGATTTGGTCAGCCTATCAAAACAAGCACAGATTGTGGTGAGTGGACATTTCTGGTATTTATCTGAGTTGATCATTAGGAACCCAGGACTTGAATGGATCTGCTCAGTCAGGTTCAGCAGATGAGCTTGTGGAAGCTGGTGGCTTGGCCGCAGGAATAGGGGCACCGCTCCAGAGTGTGCAGAACCCCACCAGGAAAACCACTGCAGCAGCAAGCTCCAGCTGACCACAGCAAATGTAAGGTGAAATTACTCCTTCTGTTATCTATGCGCAAAGTCTTTGACTTTAAAAAAGAAAAGAACCCAAACATATCTGCAGTGCTACAGACAAGTGTAGATGAAGTTCACAAAACAAAATTTAGCTTATATATATAGCATTTTTGTTGCAAGTGAATGAAAATTATGAGTAAGTCAAGCATCACAAGGTTCCTAAAACAAAGAAGATGAGTATAAAGGCACCTGAAAATTTAGTATTTTTAAAAATCCAGAATAAACTATTAAACCTTTCAAAATTTTCTCCCTACTGTTTTTATCCTCTATTTTTTCTGTCTGTCCATGTGAAACTTGTCTTTCATATATCCTGAAATCACTATAGGTAAAATGTTTCTACTATTTCCTCTTGAGACTTTTACGCTTTAAAGAAATCCACTTGGAAAGGTGGGAGAAAAGGAAGTTTCTTCATCGGGAAATGAGTGCATCTGATGAACAGTGATTAGACAGTAAAGGAGAAGAAAAAAATAGAAAGAAAAACTATTGAGAAGGTAGTAGATTCATGCCTTGGTCTGGAGAGACCAGGCCATTCTTCAGTACACAGGTCATGAATATAGAAGGGAAAGCCTAAAGAAACATGCATGGAAAAATCACATGGAAAAATCAGCACAGAAAAATCACATCTAGGAAAGGCTGTGCTGACTGACTCCTGCAGAGGGAATCTGCAGACAAGTAGTTCTGGCTGTCACAGATGTCCATGTCCATGTTACCACTGACACCACGGCAAAACAGTATCCAGAGTGACAAAATGAGACAGA